TACGACCCGTGTTTGTTTACCTTCTTTTACCTGCCAATATGACGTCTACTAACTGAGAGTCACGTGGGGTCCGGAGCTCTATTGGTTTTACTCAAAGAATACATAGCTCCACCCACTCCTGCCATCATACATTGGACCTTGTGCTGACTTATGGCACTGAGTGTGAGGAAATAATCTTTCCACATAATCCAGTCCTCTCGGACCACTTTCTGATAACCTTTGAGTTTATAATAACTGAGTTCTCGAGACATGAATGTAAATTTCACTATAGTCGGTCTCTATCTGACAACGCAGTTGCGTCTTTTAAATCAACTGTTCCATCTTTACTGTCCTCAGCATCTCAGAGGCACGTAGCAGACGGCAATATTTTCAGTTCTAGCCCCTCACAAATTGATGCCTTAGTTCATCATGTTACTTCCTCTTTACGTGTGGCATTAGATGACGTTGTCCCTTTAAAAAAGAAAGTAATTAGGGACAGGAAGTTGGCTCCCTGGTTTAATTCTCATTTACGAGCCTTAAAACAAAACACTAGGAAATTGGAGAGAACATGGTGCTCTACGCATCATGAGGAGGCCTACCTATCCTGGAAAAATAGTCTTGAGCTTTATAAACATAAGCTTCAACAAACTAGAACTGCTTATTTCTCAGCATTAATTGAGGAGAATAAGCATAATCCTAAATTTCTTTTCAGTACAGTTGCTAAACTTACACAGAATCATAGCTCTGAGCCATCTATTCCCTTAGCCCTCAGCAGCAATGACTTCATGGGATTTTTTACAAGTAAAATTAATTCTATTTGAAACAAAATCTTTAGCATCCTCCCTAATGCGATTTCTTCTTCCTCAGTAAGTGAGGCAACATCAGAGGTGACTGTAGAACCTCATCTGTGCTTGAACCGTTTTGATCCAGTTGAGCTTTCAGAGTTATCAAAAATATTAGCTTCATCTAAACCTTCAACTTGCATTTTGGATCCAATCCCAACCAAATTATTTAAAGAAGCATTTCCTTTGGTTACTGCCCCCATTCTAGATATAATCAATCTATCCTTAGTAAATGGATATGTACCACAGGATTTTAAGGTTGCTGTAATCAAACCTTCACTTAAGAAGCCTTCTCTGGATACAGATGACCCAATGAATTATAGACCAATATCTAACCTTCCATTTTTATCCAAAGTCCTGGAGAAAATAGTGGCCATCCAAGTATGTGAGCATTTAAACACTAATGCTCTGTTTGAGGAATTTCAGTCTGGTTTTAGAGAGTATCACAGCACTGAAACTGCATTAGTGAGAGTTACAAATGATATTCTCATGGCCTCAGATAAGAATCTTGTGTCTGTTCTAGTCTTGTTAGATCTCAGTGCTGCCTTTGACACAGTTGATCACAATGTTTTTTTAGAAAGACTTGAACATGTTGTAGGGATCAAAGGAGCAGCGCTAGGCTGGTTTAAATCCTACCTGTCTGACAGATTTGATTTTGTAAATGTACATGACAAATCGTCTTCATACTCCAGGGTTACTTGTGGAGTACCACAGGGTTGAGTGCTTGGACCAATTATTTTTACTATATATATGCTCCCAATTGGTAAAATCATTAGACAGCATGGGATAAACTTCCACTGTTATGCTGACACTCAGCTATATTTATCCATTAACCCTGATGAACCTAATCGGTTGGGTAGATTACAGGCTTGTCTTGAGGATATAAGAAAATTGGATGACTCTCAACTTTTTGCTTTTAAATCAAGACGGAAGTTCTTATCTTTGGACCAGAAATCCAGAAAAGGAAATCGCTTAGCCAGTCGTCTGACCTGAATGGCATTACATTAATCTCAGAGAACAAAGTAAGGAACCTTGGTGTTATCTTTGACCAGGACATGTCATTCAAATCCCAGGTTAAACAGGTTTGTAGGATTTCCTTTTTCCACCTTCGGAATATTGCTAAGATTAGAAGCATCCTTTCCAGGAGTGATGCTGAAAAACTAGTTTATGCATTTATTACATCAAGACTGGATTACTGTAATCCATTACTCTCAGGAAGTCCACAGAACGTAGTTAAAAGTCTTCAGCTTGTCCAAAATGCTGCAGCTAGAGTTCTGATGAGGATTAAAAAGAGAGATCATATCTCTCCTGTCTTAGCTTCCCTACATTGGCTACCTGTTAAATTCAGAATAGATTTTAAGATCCTTCTTCTCACATATAAAGCTCTTAATAATCAAGCTCCATCATACATCAGTGTTCTGATTGTTCCATACGTTCCTAACCAAGCACTTCGCTCTCAGACTGCAGGTCTACTGGTGGTTCCCAGAATATCTAAAATTAGGATGGGAGGCAGATCTTTTAGTTATCAGGCTCCTCTCCTGTGGAACCAGCTCCCAGATTTAGTCCGTGAGGCAGACACTTTGTCTACTTTTAAGAATAGGCTTAAAACATTTTTATTTGATAGGGCCTATGGTTAAAATCTGATGTTAGCCTAAATCTGGACAAGTGGGGGAGTAGAGGGAGGTGGAGTGTACAGTCGGTAAAGACGGCTCTCCCTTGCCCTGCCTCCAACATGCCTCCATCTAAATAGGATAGATTATCTTGAGTTATCTCTGTAGTTATGCTGCTATAGGCTTAGACTGCTGGAGGATACACTGACCACTTTCCACACTCTACTGCTTTATTCTACAGTCTGCTCTTTAACTGCATTATTTTCTGCTATTTCAGCTGTTAACTTTATTTTCTCTCTAAGTGTTTTTCTCCCCAGAAGAAGCTACAACGATGTTCTGCTGAGCTGTGGTGGCCTCATGGAGGGGGCTATCGTCTAGCACACTGCTGCTAACCACTTAAACATTCTCCCTCTCCTGATAAAAACTTTTTGCTTTCCTTGACGTTGGATGTGCTACTACTAGTTTATCAGTTTAATTATAGATCCACTAGGACAAATACAATAAAGTTTATCTCTCACCAAATAGAATATTTACTAAAACGTCACAATGTAACTATAGACACATTATTGTGTGTGTGTGTGTGTGTGTGTGTGTGTGTGTGTGTGTGTGTGTGTGTGTGTGTGTGTGTGTGTGTGTGTGCGTGCGTGTGTGTGTGTGCTCTGTCCTCTCGATCCCCAGTGAGTCGTGGAGGATGGCTGCTTATACTGAGCCAGGATTCTCTGGAGGTTTCTTTCTGTTAAAAGGGAGATTTCCTCTCCACTGTTGCTTTATGCTTGCTTAGTATGAGGATTGCTGTATAGTCACTGACACTAGTCAGTGACTTGAAGCAATTTGCTGGGTTCCTTATATAGGAAACATTATTTCTGATTGGCTTAATGAACTGACCTGAATTGGAATGTTTATTATGTGAAGTGCCTTGAGACGACTCTTGTCGTGATTTGGCGCTTTATAAATAAACTTGAATTGAATTGAGACAGTTCTTTGGTGTGTAATAGAGAAATAAGTTTGCATCAAAAAGGCAGAGAATGAAGGGTTTAATCTTAAAAACATTTTTATTTTTATTTCTTTTTTGTGAGGGAGATGTATCGGCCATTATATCGGCTATCGGCCTTTGTTAAAAGTTTTATATCGGTATTGGTCCCAAAAAAAGCATATCAGTCGGGCTCTAATGTTTAGCCGCATGCTGTTCTTCAATCGTTGGTTGTCTAGGTGGTGTCCTGAAAACAACATGGGCTACATTGATAATTGGAAAACTTTTGGGAAAACCTGGTCTGATGCGAAGAGACGGCATCCATCCCGCTTTGGATGGAGCAGCTCTTCTTTCTAGGAATAAGAGCGTTATGTCGTCGGTCGCTGCGAGCCAGAAGTAAACAGAGCAGCATGGTAGAAAGAACGCACGCTAAAGCTTGGGTCCACTTCACTAAATGTGTTGGGTAACTGGGTGATGACGAAACCAGCTACAACGATCTAAGTGAGACATCCTCATCTTAATCTGCTCCGGTAGGTAAATAAAATGTTTAAGATAACGGTAGCTTGATATGTTAGCTTCCGTTTCGCTAATGGTGCGTTCACTTTCTCCTCTGAACCCCGAATTTCCAACTAGAAGAACATGAACGCGCTCTAAAGTTTGGCTTCACTTTACTAAATGCGACGGGTGACTGGGTGAAGATGAAACCAGCGACAACGATCTAAGTGTGAGGCATCATCGTTTTAATCTGCTCCAGCAGTTAAATAAACTGTTTAAGATAACGTTAGCTTGATAAATTAACTTCCATTGCCACTATTGTTATCAGCTAATGGTGCGTTCACTTTCTCCTCGGAAATTCTAACTTCCCAGTAGGAAAAATCAAATGGCAAAAGGAATGAAGATACACAGTAAATTTAGTTCACAGTAAAGATGTTTGCTTCTGTTTAATTATCAGCTTATAAAACTACAAGGACGATGTTAAAATACAAACAGTTGAATGTTATTTATCATGATATTTATCAAATATGGTTATATATTTAGAAAAATATGTATTTAATTATAAAAGAGAATTAGAATATTAAACACTCAGAAGTATCGAAAATTGGCACCGTTACCGGTATCGATACCTAGGTACAGGAAATTAGTACCGAATCGATTCAAATGTCAAAGGTACCCATCCCTAGTCAGAAGAAGTTTTGCATCGATGCAGCTTTTCAGTTTTGCAATGAAGGTTTGAACTTGAAGGATGGTTCTGCATCTGCTTTGCCCGGCCAAGCCAAGCAAGTAAGCACTGAACAACCAAAAACCCTTTGGATGAATACGATTCACGTGAACGCTATATTTGGCTTCAAAAACGGAAATTTTTGCTGAAAGCGATAAGTTTGCAGGCATGTATAATGTTATTATTATTATGGGGTTCAGCAAATAAAACAACGTTGACCCTAACTTACCTAAAACGAGAATAGAAAATCTGTTTTATGTTAGAGAGAAAAATATATACTTTCACCAGGAAACAGGCAAACAGAAACAAGACAAGTGTGTGTGTGTGTGTGTGTGTGTGTGTGTGTGTGTGTGTGTGTGTTGTGTTGAGCTATTAAATACCTGTCCTCATTTCTGTACACTCCCCAGATCACAGCAATGGTTATGCACACAGCAGCCAGAAGGACAGACCTCACAGAGAAGCTCCTGTTTCGGACAGAAACACTAAAAATAGAAATAAAAAATATTTAACTCAAACAAATGTGGTCTGTCACATGGGGAAGATTGCTCGCTTGGTCCCGCGTGCACACACCCATCTGAATGTGTGTGTTTTTTTTTTGGCAGGAATAAAATGACTACCTTAAAGAGTTACAACCAATCAGATCCATCACAGCATCCAGACAGCTGAAGAGCGCCGAGGCAGATGCAAAGCAGAAAATGGCAATAATGACGTAAACTGGAAAAGAAAGCAACAGATGCAGGTCATAATTTGGGCTTGACACAATTAGATTTTTTTGGGTACCAGTTAACAATACCTGGTTTTAAGTCATTTCAAGAATAAAAACTTTTTAAAATGTTTTTCTTGTGTTTAACGAATGAAATATAAACATGCAGTATAGAGAAGAGGTAAACAAAAACTAAAAACATAGAAAACACGAATCGCTGCAGAGAAATGATCCCGATAACACCTCCAGAGTAAGCTTGTGGACTTGGGTCTACTTCTTGTTGCAGTAGAAGACGGGTTGTGCTTCGGCTCACAGATGAATGCCATGAACAACAAGATTCTTTATTGAATTGCTGAGATTTCCATGTTATGCTTAACAAATCTGATCACAGATGTTACATTTACTGTTCATGTCCACAAACCTGTGTCTTAAGCCTGGATCACACAGCGTGATTTGCGGCCGTCTTAGCCAAATCCTACGTCGGGGGCCAAATCGTGTAAAAAACGGTGAACTATGGGTGATTTGCATATCTGTGGTCGTCCAGTCAGTCCGGGTCTGCGACAGCTTTTTGAGCCTTCTCACAACCCAAATCAGTCTCAGACAGCCAACAAGCATGCGTGAAAACCTATGCTTCTGGTGTAACGATTTGTAAGTGGTTATTTCTAATAAACTGTCTATAGAATATAAAGGTATTGAATAAAATGTAATAGTCCATAACAATATTGAGCCTTTAATATTTGATTGATGAAGAAACTAAGGTTAACTCATTGACTGCCAATGTCAACTAAAGTTGTCATTTTTTATCCAACCGTTCACTGCCAGTGATGACTTAAGTTGTCATTTGCACATTTTTTACTGTTTGGGCATCAGAACGAGCCCCTGCGCCGAGAGAACAAACATCTCAGCTCTAAAGCTGATCTTCAACCGCATATGTCACACATCACATGATCAGGGAGCAGAAAATCCATGTTAGGAGATCGCTTTGGGCCATTCCTGTAAAAAAAAAAAAGTGAGGCGCGAACCGGAAAAGCGTCTGCCGATCACAATTCGACAACGGATTACGAAAGAACGGATACCGCTCGAAACACGCGGATTCTTCCTGATGTAAGAGGCGAGTCTCCTCTTTGTTTTGGTTGTTTTGGAGTCAACATCATCCTAGCACTCAACATTCTGTGATTCTTAAAAAAACAGTAAAAACTGTGAGAAACGCTGGCAGCGAAGGCCTGTAGCGATCAGGAAATGGCTGGCAGTGAATGAGTTAATGTAATTTTTAAGCCGCTGAAATTTTTCCACTGAAAAATCTGGTTGATTCAACACAGAATGATCATTTAGCATGAACTAGGGCCTGCACGACTTTAGTATTTTTAAAGTCGACAGTCAAGTAATGAAAGTCGAGTCGACTTCGACTAGTCGTTGATGACGTCATACGCCGGAAGCGGGGGGGGGGGGGGGGGGGGGGGGTCGGTCGGTAGGTTCGCTGGAGTTTTTGACAATTAAAATTGCGCCCACATTTTCTAAGTTAACACATCTCTTTTAATAACGGTAGTTTCTGCATCCTGCTTCAGCCCTCTCCCCCCTCCCCCTGCGCAGCAGCCGCAAACTCACTGATGCGCCTGCAGCCTCTCGGAGTTCCTGCTGCTCTAAACATTAAAATAATTATTTCATTTTCTGTTCCTCACTTCTGATTACCTTCAGTGGTGTCTGTTTGTTGCAACCACCAGGTACGAAAACAAACTTGTTATTATTTGACTATTTTTCTGTCTTGTCTGTTTATTATCTTCCTGCATCTCCTCTCAATCCTAAAGAGAAACTGCTACCTGGGTTCATATATATTCACCTTATGAGTTACCTTTGAACTGCAGTTCTAAAAAGATCTACCGACCGCAAAAACAGCGGAGTGCCGCTGCTCGCCGGCCGACTACAACGGGACCGTTTTTGCTGCGGAGTTCATGCCGGAGCGGAGCGGAGTGGAGATAGTGGAATCTTGGGGGTGCGTCACCGGAGAACAAAACAGGTGAAGAGCCTCGCTCCGCAGCAGCGAAACGCATCAGGCACAAATAACAGACAGAAAACATGAAAGGAAATGAGCAGACATGAACGATCGTGTGTTTAATTTGCTTTTGAGGTGGTGACACCTGATTTGGCGGTGCTCAGGACGCAATGTCTGGAGCGCACGTCAACGATCAGAGCTTTGCATGCACAAACTGGTTAAGATTAGGATGGGGGTGAGGGGAAGGTTAAATTGCAAGAGGGAAAAGGTCACAGTTAGGTTAAATGTCCGTTTTACCGCCGGTGTCAGTACCGCACAGCGCGTTGCCTCCGCCTCGATCCAGATGCGCAGGGGCTCATCACCTGCTGTCTTTTCCGAGGACTGCATCTTGTCAGTCATTATCACGTGACAGCGACTAGTTGATGACAGGCATAAAAAGTCACTACAAAGCCGTGAAGTCGACTAGTCGACTAGTTCGTACATCCCCTAGCATGAACTGTAAGCTTCTGCTGAGCTTGGAGCTCTGGCTGCAATTGAGGAAAATAGGAAGGGAGTTCACTTTTAACAAGTGTTTGTTATGTAGAGTTGAAAATGTCCAAGGTTATTCGTAGGGCTGCAGCTATAGAATATTTTAGTATTCGAGGATTCTATTGAATCGTCCATCTATGAATCGAGTATTCTATTTGACGACATTCAAGTGAAATGAGACTGTGGTCTGCTGCGAAAATTATAAAAAATAAAACAAAATGACAAAAGGATCAACAATATGTACTAAATTAATGTTGTCTAGTTCCCTTTCCCAGCTGAAATTTACAATGAATAAATATTTTAAGTTGCAAAATTTGACTCACATTTGATTGAAATTTTAGGTTTAATATCACTCATCTTAGCCTGAACATATCTAAATATATTCACATATGACCACTAGAATTTAATTATTTCAGTAAAATGACTAGTAGTAATCTACTGGAAATTATAACAACATTTCATTTCTTCTAGTAACAATGTAATGGTGGCATATCTATTTTATTATATACCGGTTGGCAACATAATCCAGTCTAAAGTGTATCCAAATATAGAAGCGTTTGTGAATTACATGCTACAATGCCTTGTTGTGGACTACTGCTGTGATTTAATGAATCGAGTCATTCGATGATGTTTCAGCCCTAGCTATTTGCAATGTCAGAGGTCAATTGGACAGTCAGGTGTCCAGCAGACTTCCTCTGCTAGGAATGTCGTGTACCAAAACAATTCCTTGCTTAACCATGGCTAGCAGCACCATCAAGAAGGTAGTCATAAAAAATTCTTTCTCCTGAATTATTTTCTGCTACTATTTACATGATGCAGCAACTCCAAGGTCCCATGCTGAAAACGAGACTTTCACTCCCTTAATAAAAGCGTTCTTATTTGGTCTCATAACATGATTTATTTCAATCCAAAGGTTCCTTACAATCCCATTCTGGTATCTACAATGAAAGTTCTATATAATGTGATTTAATAATTAATCTACATAAATGTTTATTATTTCATGGCTTATTCAAGATCTTTAATACACTAAATGAGTCTACTTGATTTTAATTTCACAAATTTCTCAGATCTGGTTGGTCAAAGCTTATAAACAACCATTTCACTGCCTGGCAGCTGCGTTGCCCCTGTGAAGTTGCCAGTGATGGAGCCTGCCGAACTCCAATGGGCAACGGGTTCCACAGCTTTGGGGCATGGGGGCTCGGGGTGTGGGGGTGGCCGGCCCCGTGTGGGGATCTGGGCGGGGCCTTGGGGGTCGGGTCCTGACATGTATGCTACCGGGAAGAAAGTGGGAACATGCGACAGTGCCTGGCCTGGGCTCACGGGCCTCAGGTAGACCATGGCTCCTCTGCAGTCCCATCACGGAGGAGGGGGATGTCCAGGAGGGGGAGGACCCAACCTTACCTGGATGTCCTATACCATACCATACCATAGTTTATTTATATAGCACGTTTAAAACGCAGCATGGGAGCTGCTCAAAGTGCTGCACAGGCTAAAACAAAACACGACCAATCTAAGGAACTAAAACAGAAGATAAAAATACCGATCAAAAGCAGATAAAACATGAGGAATACTAAGAACACATTAAAACAATGACACAATAAAACACTAAAATGAGTCACTGTCTAAAAGCCGAATCGTAAAAAAGGGTCTTTAAATGAGATTTAAAAACCGCCAGTGATGGAGCCTGCCATACTCCAATGGGCAATGAGTTCCACAGCTTTGGGGCAGCATGCACAAATGCTCGTTCACCCCGCGATTTGTATCGCATCCGCAGCGTACACAGCAGCAAAAGGTCAGCCGACCTCAGCGTGAGCGTGGGTACATATGGAGTGAGCAGGTCAGAGAGATAGGGAGATGCCAGGTCGTTGAGTGCTTTAAATACAAAAGTCAGTAACTGAAATTGTACTCCGAAAATGACAGGGAGCCAGTGAAGACGTGTCAGGATTGGGGTAATATGGCTACGTCGGTGTCTATTCGTCAAGAACCTGGCAGCAGTGTTCTGGACGACCTACAGCTGATTCAGGGCAGAGACCGGAGCACCAACTAGGAGGATGTTTACATAGTCCAGGCGAGAGGTAATGTAGGCATGTCTTACATATTCTGGAAGTTGTGCAAATGCAGGGATGGGAGTGGATATTCTGCTGGGGTGGGGCTGGGTTGGTGCCCTCGGACTCCGTGAGGCTCTGTGATGCTGCTGCTTTGGGCCCTGGCAAGATGGGCTGGGGTCTCCATGCCATGGGTGGCATTTTGGCAACAGAGGTGCCTATTGGGGCCAGTGGGGGAGCTGGCTCCCTGGAGGGCTTATGTCCAACCAGCCATTCCTCCCCATCCCCACACATTTTTCTCCTCCTGCTCCCCCACATCATCACACAAACATGCACATAGGACCTTGGAGGTGGACAAGTCAGGGGGTGTGGGTATAGACCCCACTTCCGCATTCCTGTGGCAACCTGCCCCCAATTTTATTTGCACCTTAAACACTTCCACCAATGACATTCCACACAAACACATAGTTAGGGTCTTGGGAGTGACCACATTCAACGGCATTTGGCAGGGGGGGTTTTCAGCCTTATCCCGAGTGCCGGTGCCCACTTCTAATTTTAAACTGCACTTAGACACTGAGGGCTGTGGGTGCAAGTGGGGTGGTGTGGTGGCATCAGCTGGCATAGGCCAGACGATGCCCGCACTGCCCGCTCACCACAGCCATGGAATACACCTCATCAACACACACTAACACTATATTGGAGCAGGTGGAGGGAGACTAGGGGTCTTAGCACACCTCTGTTGTCGCTTGGCTTCCCGGGGCTGGAGACTAGGAGGGAGACCTGGCCGTCTGGTTGGGGTCTGGGATGGTGGGCTTTTCTGGTCGCAGTCTCCTTTGGGTCCCTGTGCTCTGGGGCAGCTCCTGGATCTCTGGGACTTGGAGCTCCCTCCATCTCCTACGCATCTTTGGGGGCAGATCTGTGGTCCCTCACACTCTCTATTGGACGCTCCTATAGAGAAACTTTACATAACAAGCGTGTGTACACACACAGGTGCTCACATGGTGCTCTCAGAAGTATGGACTTGGGCACGTTCAACACATGTCTTAAGGCTGTAGTTGGCACTAAATGCACTGTGATTTATTATCGTCTGATTGTTCAGTAAAACAATGTTGATTTTATATTTCTTCAAGTTGACGCAGTGCTAGCTTGCTCCTGTAGTATTGTTGTGTGTCCCTTTTCTGCAGTTCTAGAAGCAGACTCTAATTCATCATTGATTGTTTACTTTTGTGGAACCCTAACCCCATTGTCTCATTTAATATCACTTTGAATCACCATTCATAATAATTTGCCTTTCATCATTAATATAGTAATAAATTGATTTTCATCAACTATCTGTTAGTTTCTGTGTCAAATTATTATAAAGTGTTGTTTCCCTGGCATAACAAAAGTACCTAGTTTCATTATCAGTCGAATATCAAAGGCTCAACAATATTGATAATCCACATTTTTATGAAATATTAAATTTTTTGTGAATACTTTTATATTTTATTACTATTTATTAAAAGTAACCACTTACAAATCATGACATATATGGCGGGCCAGCCATGAGGTAAATCAAAATCAACACTTTATTAATAATTTGAGGTTTTAAAATCTCTTTGCTAGCCTGAAAACGAAGGAGCCTCCTTTCGTTACATCAACTTTGACCAATCAGATTGGATAAATTTGAATAGGCATTTATCAAGAGACCTCTAACACTCCCCTTTCTGAGATGCTTAGAAAGCTTCTGTCATTTAATATGTAGAGTAAATCCGTAACAGTGTTTCACTTTTAATTTTATTGAGGTATTTTTATTTGACTCTTTTACCCCATCTAGTGGTGAATTACAGAGGGAACAACTATTCTGGTTTTTGGTTCCACCAGACCCCTTTTTCTGCCACACTCACACTGAACTCACATGTTGCAGCTGCTTGTTAAATAGTTTAACTTGTAAGAGAAAGAAAATGCAATAAGGAGAAGAAATAACCAAGGAAGAAGATAGAGAAAAAGGATACTAAGAATGTAAAGGATTATTTAGCACCTTATGGATGTCAACGAGGTTTGTGTAATTTAATAGCTTTATTGATGTGATGTGAAAGAACATTTGCTAATATTTTTATTTTTTTGTTGTTTGCTTACGTGAGAAGTTCTCACAGGTTGTCAAGGCAAAAATGAACCCAGTTTTATAATCTACATTGTGCCTAGGTCCATCCGTGAGGGTGCTACACTGTTAAACTTTCATTTGTTAATATACTGATATTAATATGAGAATGAAACTGATAATAAGATCTAAGATCTGAAATAAGTCATGAAATAAACATGTATGTTGAGTAATTAATTATTATAAATCACTTATGATGGAACATTCATTGTAGATTCACATAATATGATTCTAAGCAACCTAAGCTGTGGATTGATGTCAATTACTTTATGAAACCAAAATAAGAATAATTGTATTCATAGAGTAAAATCTTGTCTTTTGTATGGACCTTAGAGTTGCAGCTCAGATAATGGAGTGAGGAGATGGAATTTATCATGGCTACCTTCTGGTGCAAGGTTAGGGTTAGACCACGGTTAACCCTTGATGGCGCAGGCTGTGGAGAAATCAATGTCTGGAGACCTCTGAAATTACAGTGAACAAATAACTTAGGACACTTCCAATGCTACACCTGTCTGCAACTGACTAATGAAAACACACCTTTGGGGCGCCGCAGCAAGGCTCCGCCTCTCTGAGCTTCGGTTTTGATTCATGTTTAGAAAGCAGATTTTAAACTGCACACCAGTTGTTATTTTTGTTAATAGCCCAAGTTAAACCGGAGTTATACTAAAAATAATTCAACTACATTTTTAGCCCATCAGCTGGTTTGTGAAAACTGTGATTCTGTGATCTGTGAGCGTGTGAGAGGAGATGTGCTCATGAACATAAAAAATATAACACAAATACACGAGATCCCTTTTCTGTTCCTTAAATGCTTTTAAATGTTATTTAGATATTTTGTTGCCTTTTCTTACGTCAAACTGTGGCAATTTTTTGTGTTCAGCACTTTGTTTGTCCCTCGAGCCATATGAAGGTACTTTATAAATACATAAACCTGAACCTGTTGGTGGAAATTTTACATATTCAACCGATGAGGATGGTTCAGTAGCGTTTTGCTGCAGGGGGACAAAGGAACAGAATTTATGGCAAAAGTTTAGATGTTGCAGCGATCTGTGACAGATTGTTACTTCTCTGTAGTTTAGTGAGTTTTTATAAATAAAGGAGAATGAGAAGGATGAATGTCCAGCAGACAGATCAGCTGTTTAGCTGTAAGATGGGAAAAAGAGAACAGAGGCCAGAATCTGACGCCAAAGCGCGAGTTTTTAAAACAAAGCTTCCTTGTTGAGGAATATGAGCTGGGCCATGAACTGAAATTAAAAAGAAGTTTTTTAAATCTTTTCAGCTTTGTTTTGGTTAGCAGTCTGCTTAGTGACATATGTTTTTGGGAGGCTTGCTCATGATGTAGCTTGTCCTGCTGGTGAGACACATCATATGGTCTGTCTCACTGAAATCTTGCATCATACAGTATGCTTCCTTTCTGGAGTTCTCACAGTGTGACACGAACAATCCTGTGCGGCGGCCAAAAATCGCACAGTGTGATCTGGGTATTAGTCTGCAAACAAAAGAGTTCTTTTTTAACCTGTTATTTACTCACCAAGAATGTTGTAGAAGAAGTACATGAGGACCAACATCCCACACATCAAGGCAACAAAGACAATCACTTTCAGAGGAGAATACAGAGAAAGTTCTCCACCGTTTGCTTTGCTTTCACCTCCTCCTCCTGATAAGCTGTTCAGTCGGTCTCTGGAAACAAAACATAAATCTGTAGCGGTCACATTTTATAGCGTGACGACTGCAAATTAAATATGACCAATAAGATGTGATGATTCCATATAAATATGAAATATCAATCTGATTGATCTTTGAATGTTTAAGAAGATTCTAGTTACTTTTACTTGTTCAGGGACCATAAACACACTTCATATTAATTCGGACAGTCAGTATATAACTAAAAAGGAATTTTATTCTTTTCTAAACTAATGATTATACATGACAAGATATGAATAATGAGATGTGATGGAGTGGATATGCAGTGATGGAATGTGATGTGTGGGTGGTGTGATGTAAGCTAGATGTTTATCAGAATCTTTGCGTCTGAAAGAAATTGTGAAATCTGGGTGTAAAAGAATTAGTTGTCTGCTATTAACTAACGAGTTGATTATTAATAAAACAGCATCAAACGCAATCTGTTGTGTCTACAAACCCTGGTGGAAACCCCCAGCAGATCCGAACTGTCAGGAGCCGAGTGGACCTCACAGCACCGGGATTTCGTAGATTAAACTCCAATACGGCCCGCCCAGTCTCGAGATGTCTCCAGGTCACAACAGAAGCTGGAATGATTGTCTGCGTCCAAAGTGGATGTGGCTCTTAGGGAGCCGTCTGGCTGTGTCAGCTTGCAGCGTGCAAACAGGTTTTGACTGTATGTCAAAAGAGATGTCTCAAGGATGCTTGTTCCGAACAGAGGTGGGAAGTAACGAATTACATTTACTTGCGTTACTGTAATTGAGTAGATTTTTTTTGCGCATTTATACTTTTTAAGTAGTTTTTAAAATCTGTAATTTTACTTTTACTTGAGTATTGTTTTTTGTAAGTATTGTACTTGGCTACATTTTTTATCTTATCCGTTACTGAGTAAAAAAACATTGCAAAATACTGTGTCGGCACGGTTCGCACTGGATTCAGACACAACCACAGAGAAGAGAGATGAGAGTATAAACATATACATATGTAGAAGCGCCTTAACGCGCTCCAGAGTGATCCAGCGTTTAATGAAGTGTCTATGTATATATGTCTATACTGTAAGACCCAAACACGGAAGGGCTGCGGACGCTGAAGGCGCGCACCAGAAGAACTGAGTGCTTAAGTTACGAGAGTGTTACGGGGTACGAAGGAAAGGATAAGAAACACTAACTGACTATTCGGATGACTGGAGGATCGCCTAAGAAGATCAAAGCTTGTGAGAAGGATTAATGAAGGGATGTTTGAGGGGTCAACAGGTGAGTTGAACTTCTTAGTGTGAAACATGTGTTAAGTGACCTTACAGTGCAATGAATGGTGGGTAGGAGAAGAAAATAGGCGCTAATGGTACGAGAAAGATAGCCTGGCCTGCCAGACTCCTCCTGTTTAATTCACGTCATACACGGCGATGCTCAATTTCTCATAAACAACGAAGACAGCGGCGGAGTTCGCTGCGGCTCTTTCCTCTGTTCTAAATGACACAGATGTCTTTAAAACCACAAGTAGAAGCACTAAAAGCATTTCTTCTAAAAAATAAAAGATGTTTGCGCCACTGTCAGATGGTATTTTTTTTTTACTACAACTAGAAATCTACCGTGTCATGTGGTACAGTCGGGATTTCCTTTTTTTCTGATTGGTCATTTTTGAGCTTCCTAGTCCTGCCCCCCAAGTGATCTTCCAGCTAAAAGAAAAACTCAGCAGACTGGAGACTGTCTCCAAGATGTGTCAGCCACTCTTCAGAGCCATTCAGGATGGTGTCCAAAAGCACTTTGGTGAGATGATGGAATACCCTGAGCTGACTGCTGCTGCAATCCTTCTTCCAAAGTTCAAGACCACCCGGACTGAGAGGCACGATATCATTGAAGCAGGTAATTTTTAATAATTTAATATCATACCTTAATCTGTTTCTTATTCATTTCAATCCTGTCAACATACTTAAGTTCAATTATACAAGTCTGTCGACACAAATTATAGTATTTGTAAGGCATGTATTACTAAAAACAATTCTTGTTGCATCTTCTATCAAAACTTAATTACCAGATATATTAAATATGTGTTATGTATTTGTCATTCAACAGGTTTGATCAATATGAGAAGACATCTTGACCAGATGGCAGAGGCTGGGGCGAAGCAAGTCAAGTAACAGTCATCACATCTTACCATCATCTTTGTTTAAAAGTGCTTTTCAGTCCATCGGTCCCAGCATGCTCTCTATAATTAATGCTTCTCTGGTCTCTGGTCAGGTCCCTGCTTACTTTAAGAACGCTGTAATCCACCCGCTTCTTAAAAAAACGAGTCTCGACCCCTCTCTCCATAGCAGCTTCAGACCCATCTCTAAACTTCCGTTCATCTCCAAGATCTTGGAAAAGGTTGTGGCTAAACAACTCACAGCTGCTCTTGATGAACATAACATCTATGATATCTTCCAGTCAGGTTTTCGTAGAGCTCATTCTACTGAAACAGCTCTTCTTAGGGTCTCTAATGACCTTGTGACTCACAGTGATGCAGGGGACTGTTCTGTTCTGGTCCTGCTGGACCTGACTGCAGCCTTTGACACTGTTGACCATCACCTGCTACTGGAGAGGCTGAGAGACTGGGTAGGCCTATCAGGATCTGCCGGGGGGGGGGGGGGGTGAGTCATGGGCTTGTGACTATAACCTAATTTATGTTACTAGTTTGCAGTGTAACTGCCTTTGCACTTCAATATGCATATGTGTTCATTTAATAAAAAAACGGCCACTTTGACATGCATACGCCATTGTCTTTTTTTAACTATTCAGAAGAGCCCGTCCTTGCACAGTCAAAAAAGTAACTAAGTAACTTTTACTCTGACTACATTTGAAATAAGCTACTTTTTAGTTTTACTTGAGTACATTTTGAGGCAGGTAATTTTACTTGTAATTGAGTAAAATTTCATGAAAGTAATTATACTTGTACTTAAGTACAACATTTTAGTACTCTTTCCACCTCTGGTTCCGAATTGGCCGGTTCGGAACTCTGTTAGAAACTGAATCACTGAGGAAGTCATTCTTGTTTTATTAAACTACTTTGTTATGATTTCTGACCAGTCTGGCAAATCAGAATGTGCCATGTCTGGAAGGTTTTACCAAAACATTCTTCAGAAAGCCACGCCTTCCTTCAGATACAAAAATGTTTTTAACCATAAAGAGCGGGTCAAGTGTGCCTCAGAGTCCTTCTCCACCCACGTATCAATTTTAAAAACTGCAACATTAGTAGGCGTTGCCTGGTGGACCGAGAGGGTGGAGCCGCGGCAGTGACGAAGACGATGGGTAACGAGACGATGCTAACTCCCTTCACTCTGACCACTCATTAAAAGTGGAGGACGTTTCTCCCCTTCCTTACCCAGACACTCGAGAAGAAAGGGACCAAGTCAATTTGGAGGAGAAAAGCGGACCTGAGCCTTATTGTTTTGAGCTCGTGTTGCCTGAAACTACCGGAACCGACCCAACAGAACCAGCTCTGAATGGTAGGTAGCCGTTAGCCATAGCATTAGATTAGCTGCAGGGTTTGGCTCCACGGCCCTAGAGCTAGTATTCAGCATGTTTTAGAGATTTATCTGCTTCAACACACCTGGTTTTAATCAGCAACAAATAGCTGAGCTGCTTAACAGCTAATCTGACTTGTTAAAGCAGGAAAACCACTGAAACGTGCTCGATAGCAGCTCTCCAGGAGCCCTGGGCTCAAGTTACAGTCTGCTGCAGAGAAAATTATGAAAATACCCCATGAGAAAATTATTCTGTAATGTGTTAATTTATGTTACACAATCCCAAACAGCCCACTAAAACTGCCCTGATTTCATTATTTATTTACTGATACCAGCTACTCTCTTGGTTGTAGATCTTGTGGTGTCTGCAGGTGGTCTCCTGCTGGTGTTGTCAGGATCAGGAGCTTCCAGAAGAATGTGCCTTTCAATGACTCTTTCCCCCTTATTTGTTATATTAATTAAATAAATCTCAATTTATATATTTCCTGTTTTTGTTCATGTCCATAAATACTTAAACATGCTTGAAATTAAAATGAGCTTTTAACAGTGAGGTGCTAGTTTAATTCATCACAACAGAGCTAGTTAAACATGCAACAATGTGATAATTCAATTAATGTAATTTATAAATATCCATTAAAATATCAAAACTGGAATCAAAATGAGATATTTGGCAGCACAAAAAACTTGTCAAACACAATTTTTATTATAATAATTGTAGGCAGACAGGAGACAGAGCTGATGGAGGTTCTCAGTCATCGAAGGATGGCTGAAGGCTTTCCAGGAACAGGAGATGTGGTGTCTCTTCTCTCTAATCTGCCAGATGAGCTGATAGGTTACAGGTGTGTGAGGACATCCTCATGCTGTCATAACCAGATGACAGGAGTTATCAGGTGATCAGCCAGGCTAATGATGAGATGCAGAAAGAAAACAAATTCAGGACAGTGTACAGTAATAACAATAATCTGTGGCGTTGCTCATGCACCTTATGTGCTCTTATAGAGTATTGACGTGTGCCTGCCTCATGGTGTAGAGTTCATATTTGCTGAGTGTCCTGCAATAATGCAGGTTATTAGTTAATTTACTTTTGATAGCAAAGAACACAATATTTAATGTAAAAGTTATTTACCAGGGGAATCAGCTCACACGTCACCACCAAGTGTCACAGGGCCAGAATCAGTAGCCTCCTTCATGATGTCATGATGTAATCACATACTTATTTAATTGTTAATATCTTAAAAATTCTGAAATGTTTTAATTTTTTTTTACCTTGAACAGTTCACTGAGCTTGCACTGTCACTGAGGTGGAAGCTGGAATCAACAGCAGACACCTCACATCTTGGTCTTTTCAGGGGTGTGGACGCTGCTCTGGGACTTTCTGGAAGATTAATTTCCGTCATGGTCCCTGTGTCACAAGACACACTGCGGCTGGGAGCTCTAAACTGGGTGGCTATGTAAAAACAAAGAAACAGCACATTTATGAATGTTTAAGAGCATAAAATCACGTGTAACAATAATCTGTAAAACAAAACTAGGTGATAATAGAATGTTTACATAGAAGATTATTAAAAATAATTCACCTTTGCTACAGGTAAGGCTTCACGTCAGCCTGGACAAGTGCATTCTTGCAGACTACTAAATCAGTCTGACAGCCAGTGCCTTTGGCAGATTTAGCCTGAACAAAAATAGAAGCACATTGTTGTTGGAGTTTATAAAGTCAGATAATATACAAAAGAAACTGTCCTATATAGGTGCTTTATAACATTCCTAGTGTGTGATCGTTATTATAACGTAAATGTCAGTCACATATGATGTGGAGAGCCTGAAATGTGACCTCCTGAACAGAATTCCTCACAGAACCGGGTCACGCTGTGGTGTAAAGCTGGATTTCACGCTGTAATGCTGTCTGTCAGCTAGTGCTGTTAGGTAGAGCCACTGTTAGCAGAATTACTGACTGACACAAAAACCCGAATTTTCTCCGAGCCTGACAGTAATAGTCATGTGGACCATTTCGTCGGCCAGGCTTCGAGATATGTTCCGATTCGCCGCTGATTCTAACCTTACATCTCGTTCCACATTTTGTGAACTTGACAAATCAGCCTGAAGGCAGTGCAGACTGATAATAGCTAAATGAAGTGAACCACGTCTCTCAAACTTTGCATTTAGGTAGGGAATTTTCTTTAGAAGATGTTAACTTTTATTTAGCTTACTCACCTCAGACTGGAGCCCGCCGTGGTGGGGGAGCAGAGTCGGTGGGCTGCATCTAAATCGCGGAAGAGCCACGGTGGGCACAGCCTCCCTCTTCAAACGGAGACGTGCAGAACAACCCAGTTCAAAGTCCATCATGTTGGCGAAGGAATCGCGGGTAAAATGCTGGTTGCAAACTACAGCACCAGGCGGGAGCTGACTGTTTTCCAGTACACCGATTGCGCGCAATCACTGATGCCTAATTTCTAAGTCCAGCGGAAAGGAGTGCAACCCCACAGAGCCACCGAACCCACTACACTACACCTTCTTACCATACTAACACGATATGGAACACTAAACCCGAATTACTTTCCTAATAACACTAACAGCCAAACACTAACTAAACTACAACATCCAACAGCCAAGCTAACACTAAATAAGTATGTATAACACTAAAAGCTATGCTAAAGACTAGGATATGCTAATACTATATGCTAATGCTGAACTACCGCTAACCATCCTACACTCAAATCAAATCAACTTTATTTATAAAGCGCATTCACATGGCCAAAATGGACAAACACTCACTTGCAAATCCAACTCCCAACTCGCCACAAGGCGTGGCCGAGACTCGATGCTTTATAACTTTGACACAGAGCTGCTACGTAGTACTCTACTGGTTTATATAGTATCTTACTCTTTAGCCATTGGCTCAAGTGTATTCAAAATGACTCAAGCTCTATCTTTTAAGCTGAAGGTGGCGCTATACTGTGGTATTTAGGCAGAATTTTAAATTTAAGAAAATGCACCAAAATGCTAAAATAATGAATACACACATTGAAAACACTATTAGACACTCATTTATACAGTTCATCGGCAAAAAAAGTTAATTTAGACATTACTTACTCTTTAACTTGTATCTTATTGTAAGGTGTATGAGTGTAAACAACGATGAACTTGTTAAATCAAACACAGTGATTTGTGATATAAATCGATCATTGTAAGAACAATATTCATTTCAAATTCATTGATTTGAGCACAGATTGTTCAAACATTTGATTTAAACATCTTGTTCATTCATCACATATGATTATTTAACTTATAAGTTGTAAAGCCTTGTAGGATTCGTGTGGATTCACTTTTATTCAGAGTGAGGAATCTAGCAGTCTGACTTTTAGCAGAGAGATAAGGGCTTTTGCGGGAGACCTTGACAGTTTATTTATGTTCATGTTGAAGAGCAAAAGGTTGATTTGTGCGTCTGGATCCTCCAGCTGGTGTAATCGTGACTTTGCAGCTCTAGCGTGCATGAAACGTTACTGTGTCAATTCGATGGTGAAAATTGACCTTTTTGATTCATTACTAATCATTTAAACCAGATGAAGTGTTTTTCTAAATACAGCCACCACCTTAAACCAGTGAAGTAAATATGTGGTGATATACAAACATGGCTGCTACTTAACTTTCCTGCAGGGTAATTTAGATTTTTTATTATTTATTTCATTTATTATTAAAATAGAAAAAAATACAATACTAACAAATAAAATGAGGTTTCTCAAACCAAGAAAATAAAAAGGGAACAGAAAGAAGAAAACTTTTGTTACCTGCCCCTTTTTAACTAAAATGACATTTTTACAATGAAATAACAATAATTATAAATTAGCCTATACAAAGTAATTGCTAGACTGGTTAGCTGACTTGAGTTCAATTTGTAAAGATGAGAAAATGAATAGTAATAATAACAATTCAAAACGCAAAAGGATTTTTGCACATATACCTATTCATACATATATACATTTAAGTGCATTGCATGCCCATATGGTCGCACATACTTCATCTGTACATATATAGACATACACATGTATCCACTACATATACACATACACAAACATACATACTTATTTATGACAGAGTAAGATGGCGCTCGCACGGGTGCACGCTGCGAGCTGCTCGTCCTCTTTATGCACTGGTACCTTGCTTTTTACTGTTTTTATTGGCGTTTTATTGGCTTTTATGCATTTTTCTTGTTGCTGATGCCTTTTTTGAATGGTGTGGATCCTCTGCTGACATACGATCGGGCTGCGCTGCTGAGGCTTCGTCCTTCCGTTGATGTAGCGGGCTGCGCGCGCTGGGAACCGGGCTGCATGAGCTGGGAACCTCACGGATGGTGCTGCTGGTTGGACTGCCCATTTGCTCTCTCCCCCCAAGCCCTCTGTCCGCCCCAGCTCGAGAAGGAAGCATCGGAGAAGACAGGGAAAGAGAGGTAGCCGGCGCGTGAGACGTCGGCCTGGATCCCTGAACAAGCGGCTGGCCCGATTCGGTCCAGCTTCTGACCCGGTGGTTCCGAGATGTCTCCTGGATTACTCGACGCCCTGCCCAAGGAACTTGGCCGGCTCTGAGGGTGAACCGGCTCGAAGATCTCACCAGACTGGGGTTTGTTGGGAGAATCTGCGCTCAGTTACAGGCACAGAGTTTAAGGGGACTGTGCTCGTGCGCGATCTCGGTGCCGCATGCCCCGCCGCAGACCCGGTTTGGTCTAGTCAATGCCAGGTCTGTGCTGAACAAAACTTTTATTCTTTGTGACTTTTTTATTCAGCATGACTTGAGTTTTCTGTGCATCTGTGAGTCCTGGATCCCGTTTGGTGACTCAAGCGCCCTGCTGGAGCTGGTACCACCTGGCTGCTCCTGTTTTAATATCCCCAGATCACGGGGCAGAGGTGGAGGGCTGGTTGCTGTTTTTAAATTCAGCTTTCCTTGTAAACAGCTTACACCCACCATGTCATTTTCTTCCTTTGAACTGTGCCTCTCCCCCCGCCTGCTTGTTGTGCTGATTTATCGGCCTCCAAAGACTGACTCTAACTTCCTTAATGATTTCTGTGATCTTGTGGCAGACTGCATCCTAAAATATGATTATGTCCTATTTTTTGGTGATTTTAACATCCATATCTGCTGTCCTGACAATGTGCTTGCTAAAGGTTTTTTGAATTTGCTAGATTCATTCAATCTAACTCAATGGGTATCATCCCCAACTCATGCCAGGGGTCACACCCTGGACCTGGTTATCTCTTATGGTCTCCCTGTCATGAACCTGGTGACTTTGCCTCCTGTGTTCTCTGACCACTCTCCAATACTCTGTGATGTTACGCTGCCATGTCCTGTCCCTGTGTGTGAAGCTCCAGCTACTAGGTTCAGAGCCCTGGATGCAGAAACTATTTCAAAGTTTGTGGACTGTATGTCTGTAAGGTTAGAGTCCGTTAACCCAGATCCATCTAACACTGAACACTATTCACCACACTTTGATGTACTTTGTAATCAGGTCCTGGACGTGGTTGCCCCTCTCAAGCTTAGCAAGTCTAGTCCTAGGAGGGAGTCTTGGCTCTCTGATGTCACACGGGCTTGCAGGCGGGCGTGTAGATCCTCTGAGAGAAAGTGGAAAAAGTATGGCCTACAGGTCTCGCGTGAGTTGTTCAGAGCATCTCTGGTTGCTTATCAGGATGCTGTGAGGGCTGCCAGAACGGCCTATTTTGCAGACATCATCGAAACAAACTCAAAGAATCCCAGGATTGTCTACAAAACACTTAATTCTGTTCTGGTGTATCAGGAGCCTAGCTCCATGTCTCCTACAGCTGCTGGAAACTCTGAAGCTTTTCACAGATTCTTTGTTCATAAAGTATCAGGCATTAGAGCAGCTATTTCTGGTAACTCTGTTGACCCTGTTCCAGTTCCTCCATCACCACCCACCCTGAGCTCCCTCAATACAGTTTCATACTCTGAGCTGAGTAAGCTTGTTGCGAGGCAGAAGCCATCTGGCTCTCCACTTGACTTTCTGCCGCCTCGTCTCTGGAAGGCTGCCTTTCCGTGTCTTGGTCAGATTATCAATGGGAGCCTCAGCACAGGTGTGGTCCCAGCTGCTTTGAAAGCAGCAGTTATTCGGCCGACCCTGAAGAAACCTGGTGCTGATGTCTCTGTGATAGAAAATTACAGGCCTATCTCTACCCTGCCTTTCACATCAAAACTGCTCGAGAAAGTCGTTTATCAGCAGCTGGTCTCACATTTAGCTGACTCTGATCTGGTTGAGGTTTTTCAATCAGGGTTCAGGTCTGGCCATAGCACAGAGTCTGCTCTACTGAGGGTCCTAAATGACATCTATCTATCACTAGATCAGGGTACATCTGTGCTGCTTCTATTATTAGACCTGACAGCAGCCTTCGACACAGTCGACCACGCGATTCTACTCGATCGCTTGGAACGATGGGTTGGGATCAAAGGGTCTGCTCTGGACTGGTTTAGATCGTATCTCCACAACAGGACATTCTGTGTTAAACTGGGTGATGTTTTTTCTTCTTGGGAGGGGCTCCGCTGGGGGGTCCCGCAGGGATCGATCCTTGGTCCTCTTTTGTTTGCCATTTATCTGCTACCTCTGGGGTCAATCTTTCGTAAACATGGCCTATCATTCCATCTCTATGCTGACGATTGCCAGATTTACTCTCCATTGTTTCAGGAGAAAGGTCACTCTATCCAGTCCTTTGTGTCCTGTCTTAACGAGGGGAAGTCTTGGCTAATGGCCAACGTTCTACATCTGAATGAGGGAATGACAGAGCTAATTGTTTTTCACCTCAACAGCAAGAATGTGGATCGTTATGTTGATCTTGGCCCTCTATCTCCCTACTCAAAACCAGTTGTTACCAGTTTGGGGGTGAAACTTGATGCTGGACTTAAATTTGATGCTCACATCAATTCTGTGATCCGGTCCAGTTTCTTTCACCCGAGACGCCTTTGGGAATGGGTACCTTTGACATTTGAATCGATTCGGTACTAATTCCCGGTACCTAGGAATGGATACCGGTACTTAACGGTACAATTTTCAATACTTTTGACTGTTTAATATTTTAATTCTCTTTTATAATTAAATATATATTTTTCTCAATATATAACAATATTTGATAAATATCACGATAAATAACATTCAACTGTTTGTATTTTAACATTGTCCTTGTAGTTTTATAAGCTGATAATTAAACGGAAGCAAACATCTTTACTGTGAACTAAATTTTCTGTGTATCTTCATTCCTTTTGCCATTTGATTTTTCCTACTGGGAAGTTAGAATTTCCGAGAAGAAAGCGAACGCACCATTAGCTGATAACAACGGTGGCAATGGAAGCTAACATATCAAGCTAACGTTATCTTAAACAGTTTATTTAGCTGCTGGAGCAGATTAAAACGATGATGGCGTTCGCTTTCTCCTCGGAACTCCGAATTTCCGACTAGAAGAACATGAGCGCGCTCTAAAGTTTGGCTTCACTTTACTAAATGTGACAGGTGATTGGGTGAAGATGAAACCAGTGACAACGATTTAAGGCACCATTAGCGAAATGCAAGCTAACATATCAAGCTAACGTTATCTTAAACATTTTATTTACTTACCGGAGCAGATTAAGATGAGGATGTCTCACTTAGATCGTTGTCGCTGGTTTCATCATCACCCAGTTACCCATCACATTTAGTGAAGTGGACCCAAGCGTTAGCGTGCGTTCTTTCTACCATGCTGCTCTGTTTACAACTGGCTCACAGCGAGCGACAACATAACACTCTTGCGCATGCGCAGCTGTCTTCGCAAGTTCTCTTTATGAAGGACGGGTACCGAAACGAGGCACCGTTTGAAATTACGTGAATCGGTGCTCGATTGGTACTATGGAATACGGTCGGTACCTTAAAAAGTACCGAATTCGGTACCCATCCCTAGACGCCTTGCAAAAATCAAGCATATGCTGTCGAGAGCCCACCTGGAGCGGGTACTGCATGTCTTTGTTATTTCTAGGCTTGACTACTGCAACTCTCTCTATGCAGGGTTGTGTCAGTCAACACTGTGTCGCCTACAGGTTGTGCAGAACAGCGCAGCCAGGTTCCTGACTGGGACCAGGAAACGGGACCACATCAGTCCGGTTCTGGCCTCCCTGCACTGGCTTCCGGTTTGCTATCGCTCACAATTCAAAATCCTCGTCTTTGTTTATCATTTCTTCCAGGGTGGTGGTCCCCCCTATCTAGCCACACTCCTGAACAGACACTCCCCCATCACGCGCTCTGCGCTCCTCTGACCAAGGCCTGCTCGCTGTCCCTCGCTCTAGGTGTCGTACTCGCGGGGACCGGGCTTTCTCAGTCCTAGCACCGTCACACTGGAACCAGTTGCCACCCTCAGTTAGGCTGTCCCCATCTCTGCCAGTCTTTAAGAGTCGCCTAAAAACACACCTAAAAACACACCTCCTCCGCTTGGCATTTCCAGAACATGTTTGATTTTGGCCCTCTTTTATGTTGAATTTATTCCACAGTTTTCATTGGTTCACTAAATCCATTGTTTTACACATTTGTCCTGTACCAGAATGTTTCACCTATTTTGTAATTTGTATTTTGTAATTTTATTTTTGATTTATTCAATATATTTACCTTCAACTGTACCATGTTCAGCGCTTTGGGCTTCCTGACAGGGTTGCGGAAGGCGCTTTATAAATAAAGCTTTGATTGATTGATTGATTTATTTATACATACACACATGAATATGCCTACACACATCTTCTATAGCTTTATTTATTTATTTATTTTTTTATACAATTGATTTGCACGTATATGATTCCAGAATTTCATTTTTAATTAGTTTTTGAAAATAAATATCGTTTTTGCATCTCTAAGCGAGCTCAGAACATCTGGGGTATCCTGATAAATCCCTACTTGAAAAAGCACTCTTGTTCACTCAAGAATTCGACAGTAACACCAATGATGCTCAAGTGGATTCAATTGTCTTTAAGTCAAGCGAGGAGCGACAAGCGAGCCTCATGCACATCCACAGGCAGCCATTTAAGTGATGCTACATGAATGATAATGAAAGGAAAGGACAGAGACTCATTCTTCTCCCAGAGTTAGGAAGAACTACTAATTCATGCATACAAGGAATACAGAGATATCAGAACTAAAATGGAGACCACCAGCTGCTTGATTAGTTACGCTATTGAAAATAATATTAAAAACGCTATTTAGTTAGATCGCTCTGTGATGAAATGCGTCCATGGCAATGCCGGTGGTCCACTTCAGCTCTCATTTCTCCACATATTTTAATCAAGTTGAAATCATTTATGTGTCATTTTCATTTTTTGCTCCAAAGTCGGGATGTTTAGAGACTGGAGGAGTTTGTTTTTGCTGAGAAGCTGGGAGTTTTAAGAATAAGTTTGTGGCACTTAGACACAGAGGGCTGTGGGTGCAAGTGGGGTGGTGTGGTGGCGTTAGCTGGCGTAGGCCAGATGATGCTTGCACTGCCCGCTCACCACAGCCATGGAATACACCTCATCAACAAGGACTAACACTATATCGGAGCAGGCGGAGGGAGACTAAGGGTCTTAGCACACCTATGTTGTCACCTGGCTTCCCGGGGCTGGAGGTGAGGAGGGGGATCTGGCTGCCTGGTTGGGGTCTGGGGTGGTGGGTTGCTTTGCTCAGCGATGGGCGGGGGAGCCTGCTCATCAGCACCCCAGCAGAAAGGGTCGAACTCTGGGAACCGGTGATGGTTGTACCCCATGTGCAGCAGTACCGGAACCAGAGTGAATAGGGTGTGTATGGGGAGCATGAGTGGGTGTCCGGCGTGCATTTTTGTAAGTCTTAGGTTGTATGTGCATGTGTGAGCATGAGGGAGGGAGTGTGTGACTGCATCTGTGTATGACTGTACAGGTCCTTCTCAAAAAATTTGCATATTGTGATGAAGTTAATTATTTTCAGTAATGTACTGATAAACATTAGACTTTCATACATATTAGATTCATTACCAGTGTTGGGGGTAACGCAGTTTAAATATAACGGCATTTCTAACGGCGTTCTTTTATAGGTAACGGAATAATCTAATTAATTATTTTCCCGCCGTTGCAACGCCGTTACCATTACTGGGGATGGAAGGTTGTGCGTTACTATGTGCTTGTCGAACGTGGAGCAGCAGTGTGAGGCTTTCTGACCGCTACACTTCAGCTGCAGCCAGGGAGAGAGAGGTGTCGGTAACACACTTATAAACACGATGATGATTGGCCGGGTGGGCGGAGACCCTCACGGTCTCATTCGCTGCATGTTGTAGAGTAGACACAGCAAGTGATGGTAATAATGCCACTTAAAATAACCACGTTAGTAAAAAAATATTTCTTTCTGTAACGAGCAAACTAATTAATTACGTCTTCTTTTAACAAAACCTCGTTTCTGTTACTGATAAGGAAATGCGTGCATTAAGCAGTGCGGTGTGTTGAAGCAGTCATCAGCTGATCAGGAGCTAAAGAGGTAGATGTTTAAGAGCATCACGGCCCGTGAAGAACGAGGAAGACGTGATGAATATCTACGGCTGCAGACCCGCAGATTCGCTGCTGCAGATGTGGATCGGCAGACCCGTGCCCTTCTTAGCGCGACAGCGGGACGTCCCGAAGGTCCGCTCACCTGTTCACCGCTCAGACATCCTGATCTTCTGCCTTCCTAGATCATCCAGCTGTAACCTGTTTCTGATCATGTCTTTAGTCCCGCTGTAACACTGATGCATCAGTCTCAGACGTCATGGTGCTCAGGTGTTATTAGAACTACCTGTGTGTGTTTACCACCCAGCTTCAGCTCTTCTGTGGTTGGGTCTGACCCACGTTAGTAAATGTAAGTCCTCCATCAGGCTTGTGCCTCTTCTAGTGTCATTTTAAAGGATATTTATTTATTTATTTAACCACTACTAGATTACCAGCAGCAGAAATGCTGCTAAAACACACAATTATTACACAAAATTACATTTATTTCTGTAATTTAACTAGACTGAGATACCATTTAAAGGCACGGGAACCTTTACAGGTGTTTCTATTTGCAATTTTAAATTTTTGCTGATTGGGGTCTTGAATATCACACAGTGACCTTTTAATAGTCTAGATTAGTGTAATGCTCCTGTTAAGTGCTTATTTATTTAAATTATTCAGGTTTATAAAAAAAAACATTTGGACATACATTTTATTATGTTCCAGTCATTAGTCATTTATATTATAGTAATTCTTGCATGCTTTAATGAAAAAAGTAACTAAGTAGTTATTTTTGTTGGTAATTAGTTACTTTTATGATCTTGTAACTCAGTAACTGAGTTACTTTTTTGACAAAGTAATCAGTAACTATAACTAATTACTTTTTTAAAGTAACGTTCCCAACACTGTTCATTACACACAACTGAAGTAGTTCAAGCATTTTATTGTTTCTAATATTGATGATTTTGGCGTACAGCTCATGAAAACCCAAAATTCTTATCTCAAAAAATTAGCATATCATGAAAAGGTTCTCTAAACGAGCTATTAACCTAATCATCTGAATCAACTAATTAACTCTTAACACCTGCAAAAGATTCCTGAGACTTTTAAAAAACTCCCAGCCTGGTTCACTACTCAAAACTGCAATCATGGGTTAGACTGCCGACCTGACTGCTGTCCAGAAGGCCATCATTGACACCCTCAAGCAAGAGGGGAAGACAAAGAAAGAAATTTCTGAACGAATAGGCTGTTTCCAGAGTGCTGTATCAAGGCACCTCAGTGGGAAGTCTGTGGAAAGGAAAAAGTGTAGCAGAAAACGTTGCACAACGAGAAGAGTTGACCGGACCCTGAGGAAGATTGTGGAGAAGGACCGATTCCAGACCTTGGGGGACCTGCGGAAGCAGTGAAATGAGTCTGGAGTAGAAACATCCAGAGCCACCGTTAGGGTTGTCACGGTAACAGGTGTAGTGGTAAACCCCCGTAAAAAGGTTGACAATAATAATAATAAATAAAACCCTTACCAGCCACCGTATCATCTGCTGAAGTTGCCGGCGGCACATGCACACTTTGTTGTTTACAACCAAAACTTTCTTGAAGCTAAAGCTGAAATAATGGCTAAAGGAGGAGACGGCAGCGCTCAGGAGGACATTTTTATCCCTCAAAGAAGACAAAGTGGGAAGTACGGGCATTTTTTGGATATTTGAAGAATGCCGAGGGACAGTTGATAGAAGACGGCTATCCTGTTTGCAGCGCGTGCAGAAAAAGTGTCTGTGAAAGGCAGCAGCGCTTCAAATCTCATGACACATCTGCGTGACCATCACCCACAACTCTACAGTCAACGCAAGGCAAGTTAACGTTAGCGCTTTAGCTAAAATGTGTGATCCGAGGATTTGGGTTGAGGGAGAATGCAACGAGTCGCTATATAAAGCAGCCGCAGCGCCGCTACCTGCATATAAACCGTGTCGCGGACACCGCCATGTTGAAATGACGCTATGCATTACGGGGCTCCCAGGGGCAGATAAGAGTTGGTCTCTCTCCGAGAATAATTATGAATTTAACAATGATTACTGCCTGATGACATTTTCCCACATCTGCAAAGCTCACTGGAAGGACACAAACCGAGGGGTTTATTACTCAAGTAAGGGTAAAAAAGTATCTGATTAGAAGGCTACTTGAGTACTGAGTATCATCTGGTCGAATATTTTTAAAATGATGACATCAAACAGACATAAAATAAGAAGTTATGGGCAAATATTGGTATTTTAAAGACTAAAGGGGAAAAATGTAAACAAATAAATAACATAATTACAAAATAACCATTTTAGGGAAAATTTAGACAAACTGAGGACAATATTTTCCTGATATACAGGGTTTATTTTGTTGTCTGAAAATGTAACACGTTTAAAAAAATACCGCGACAATACTGAAAACCGTGATAATTTTGGTCACAATAACTGTGAGGTTAAATTTTCTCACCGTGACAACCTACTCTGATCGCAAACCTCCAGACCGCCGGTGTCGGTACAAGATCTGCTCGGGTGCAAGATCGGCTTGGGGTCCTTCGACTGCCGATGACGTCAATGTACGGCAAACCCATTCGGACAAAATACACTACACATCTATACTGTTGGAAAGAATTTAGCAGTTTCGTTATTAAAATAATGTTTCTAACGACGTAAGTTTGTGTTTATAATGGCATTTGTAAAATAAAACACTATATTGTATTCATAATGTTGAACTCCTCTTTGAGCACATCCCTTGAAGGATCATAGGTATTAGCAACACCTGTGAAATTGTATTTGCAGGAAAGAAGTGTGTCCCGTTTATTGAAGTATTTTGTGTTTAGAGTTTTTGACGTCTTGTCCATGCGTAGTTCAGTTACGCTCATAGCTGCTAGCCGAAACGCTCGAGTTCTGGCTGTACTAAAATACCTGTCTGTCTACTTATTTGATTGATGGTAGTTTTACATTCTATTAGACTCCAAATGTAATCATTTGGCACGTTTCTAATTCATAATTTGTAAGAATGTAATCAGTGATATTAGCATTAGCATTCCTATGGGTTTTTCCATGTATATTAGCGTTGCGCTAACCACTCGCTGCCAAATTGCAGCCTTTGCGATTCGAAAATCTCCTTTTGTCACATCGCAATTTAATTGCACATGCAGTTAATCGTTCAGCCCTAATATACATGCAGCTCTATGCTAAAAGTGTATTTTCAAAGAGGTAATGATGGATTTCTTTGTAAAAGTTGTCCATCTTTCCAACAGAAAGATTTGCCTGGACCAACGTAACGTGATAACAACGTAACATGATAACAACGTAATGTGATTGTGTAACTTCCGTAAGGTTCATGTTCAGCCAATCAACTACTTTGACATCATCGGCAGTCGAAGGACCCCGAGCTGATCTTGCACCCGAGCAGATCCTGTACCGACACCGGGATCAACTCATACAAGGGTATCGTAAGCCTGCATACTGGTGTTTGATGAGGTTTTTATTGACAACTAACTCTATAACAAACAACAAATTCTTTTACACACAAATTTCACAATTTCTCTCAGATACAAAGATTCTGATAAACATCTAACTTACATCACACCGCCTACACATCACATTCCATCACCGCATATCCACTCCATCACATCTCACTATTCATATCTTGTCATGTATCATTTATCTAGTCTGTTTAACTGAATGGTCTGTCATATTTGTTTACACATATATATATATACATTTTTGAGCTCTACCTGCCACCTGGCGAGTAAACATTTGCACCAAATTAGTTATGTTTATCAGTCATCTTCCATGGATTTCTGATACTCCTCCCGCCTGCATGCAACTTACACAAACTTACGTGAAACGTGAGCGCCGCATCCAAAGTCATTTCCACCTATCCCATTCAATCAGTTTATCAAGTTAGCAGTTAGCTTCGTGTTAAAACTAGCGGTGAAATGTGGCGGTTTTTAACTGGAGTCAGCCAGCCTTCCAAAAGAAAACTCGTCGAACTGGAAGAAAAACCACCAGGACCAGTGGCAACCAGAAGATTTTGTGAAAAGTGGCGAACTGGAGATGGCGGAGTCGTGAGACAACGGCTACATTATGATGGTCACGTAGCGTTGCTGCCTTTCACAGACAACTGTCCCTCGGCATTCTTCAAATATCCAAAAAATGCCCATACTTCCGACTTTGTCTTCTTTGAGGGATAATAAATGTCCCGAGTGCCGTCTCCTCTGGCCATTATTTCAGCTTTAGCTTAAAGAAAGTTTTGGTCGTAAACAACAAAGTGCGCATGTGCCGCCGGCAACTTCAGCAGATGATACGGTGGCTGGTAAGGGTCACCGCGCCTACACCGCAGCCACGGTAATCCACCGAGATAATATATATATATATATATATATATATATATATTTTTTTTTTTTAAACAAGACGGTTATTATTATTGTCAACTTTTTTACCGGGGTTTACCGCTACACCGGTTACCGTGACAACCCTAGCCCCGACACACTTTCAGATATTCTCATGGTGCAGCTGTGTTCTCCAGAGATCAAGGACTAGGACCCAAATGAGGCTGTAATGCTTTGGCACAAAGACGGTGTCAGAAGCAGGAGGCCAGACTTCATGGACAGAGAAAACAAGGAGTCTGACTAGATTTCAATGAAAGAGTTCATAAAAACATCTCTAAAAATAAATAAATAAATAGTAAAAATGACAAAAGAGTTGTTTTTCTTATTAATTCATGTTTTAATTATTTTGACACTCTGTTTGGAATCAACATAATATAGAATAACATGCTTTAGGTAGATCTAAATCATTTAGAAATTTGGCCGGTAAAAAATATGCTTGGCCGGTAGATTTTCATCATCTACCAGCCAACTTGGCCGGTGAGTAAAAAATTTAATTTCGGACCCTGTATATATATATACATATTTATCTCTTTTAATTTATCATTTTATTTACATCTTAGTGTTTTTACATGATTATGCTTTCTTTTACCATCTTTATAATCACTTTTTATCAGTTACTTTTTATCCATATTAGCTTTTGTTATTTTACAGTTATATATTTTAATCCTCCAGTGTTTCCACTGCGGAGCCCTCTGCCTTGGGGCCGGTGGTCGGCGGCGGTGGCCGGGGCGCTCCTCGACTAGTGCCCGGGCAGTGGTGGGGGTATCTGCACCCCCCCACTGGGCGTCATGGGCCGGTGTCTTGGCTGCTGCAGTGGATTTGTTGCTGTCAGGGCAGATGGCTCTGCTGATGATGTGTCGTTCATTACCTGACCCATCTGAACTCAGCCTATTGTTTCCTTTGTTGTTCACGTGTGTGTGTGTGTGTGTGTGTGTGTGTGTGTGTGTGTGTGTGTGTGTGTGTGTGTGTGTGTGTGTGTGTGTGTGTGTGCGCGCGCGCGCATGGACGAGTGTGCGGGTGAGCTTATGTCCACTTTGGAAGTTGGGTGCGGGAGGGGAACCGTAGCTGTCAATTGTTTTATACTTGGGCAGGGGGCTGGGATGCAAATATGGGATCTATGGGGCCATTTTAATCTGTGAAGCACTTTGAGTTGCATTTTTTTGTATTAAAAGTGCTATATAAAGTTGATTTTATTTTATTTTATGTATCATTAGTTTAGGGAAATAATTAAATTCATTTTATAAACTATATACTGACTATCTGAATTAATGAGAAGTGTTTTTATGGTCCATAAATAATCTGGCAGATCTAACCAAATTAAACTACATCCCACTTTTAAAGAAAGTGGAAAATGACCTTGCAAGATGGAAATCGTTACCGATATCACTCATGGGGAGGGTTGCTACAATTAAAATGATGGTCTTACCCAGAATAAATTACTTATTTTCAATGATCCCAAACAAGCCACCATCTGACTGGTTTAAATCTCTGGACTCCTCAATTACCAAATTCCTTTGGCAGGATAAACCTCCACGAATTAGCTTAAAACGCTTCAGAAGACCAAAGACAGAGGAGGACTGGATCTACCCAACTTTTATTATTATTTCTTAGCCAACAGGCTGCAATATATACCAAGATGGTTGCAAGATAACCCACTAGACGAGTCCTGGTTAGATATAGAACAGACACTTTGCAATACGATAGAGCTTTCAGACTTACCATTTATTAGCTCTAGCATAAGAAAACATGAAAGCTTCAAAAGTATTAGTATCAGCACCTCTCTGACAGCATGGTGGGAGTATCTAAAAATGAAAGAGTCTTCAATAGTACCATGCAGACACACACCTATCTGGAATAATCCTGATATTTTGGAAAATAATAAAATGATTAACCTTCCGGACTGGAAAAATAAAGGAATCCTATACCTGGAACACATATATGAAGGATTGGACTTCATCCCATTTAATAGAATAGTCTCCCAATTTGGAATGGATAAGAATAGCTTTTTAGAATATCACCAAATTAAATCTGTAGTAAAACAAAAATTTAAGCTCAATAAAATAGAATTACAAACACCACCAAGGGTATTAGACTTCTATAATCTCAAACCCCCCCAAACTACTGTCTAAAGTATATAAGACACTGTCCAAAATAGACGATAGAATAGTAATCCCTATTGAAAAATGGGAGGTGGATCTATCAGTCAGCTATGACCAGAACTTCTGGTCCCAAACTTGTTTAAAAACTTTTAAAATGATCAGACACCCCAATTTACAATAAATTCAGTACAAAATTCTACACAGAGTACACTATACAGGTCATCGGATGTTCAAGACGGGGTTTGTGTCCTCTGACACCTGTACACACTAGGGGCTGCATCACGTAATTTGTTTTAAAGTCGACAGTCAAGTAATGAAAGTTGAGTCGACTTTGACTAGTCGCTGATGACGTCATACACCTGAAGCGGGTTGGTTCGCTGGAGTTTTAAACAATTAAAATTGTGCCCTTAAAATTGCGCCCACATTTTCAAAGTTAAACACATCTCTTATCAATGGTAGTTTCTGCATCTTTACTCCTGCATCTTTACACAAGAATAAACAAGTCTGCTTCTAGACCTGCACAAAAGGGACACACAACAATACACTGAACAATCACACTATAATAAATCACAGTGCATTTAGTGCCAACCACAGCCTTAAGGCGTGTTGAACGTGCCCAAGTCCATACTTATGAGAGCACCATGTGAGCACCTGTGTGTGTACACGCACTTGTTTATGTAAGGTTTCTCTATAGGAGCATCTAATACTTGTGCTGGTTGGCTTGGAACCCGTTGATAACTGCTTGCAGCTCAAGTTGTTTTTATAAGTGTCATTTTAGTTGTCCTCGCTATTTAAATATTCTTTTCCAGGGTTGTGTTCTGTCTCGTCTTAATTTTAGTTTATTGCAGTAGATGGTCATCCTTCTGTTTTCTGTTCGTTGTTCCCTAATTTAGCCTTATGTTTTATAGTCCACCCCAAGTGTTAAGTTGATTTTTTACTGCAATGTTACTCCTCCCATACTCATTCATTTCCAGTGTTCATCGTGTTCTGTTAGTCAGTGGTTTTGTTCAGCCAGCCTACAATTCTGTTCGCCCATTGTCTTTGTTCCCTCAGTGCCCCATTAGCCTGTCACACCTGCAACAGATCAGTATTTATCACACCTGTTCCATCATGTCCCCTTATGTTTTGTACAACGTATGTCTCTCCTGTGTCTCTCCAGGCTAAAGACCAAAGGAGACAGATCATCTGCTGCTGTTGCCCCCAGACTCTGGACCTCTCTCCCTCTGAGCCTATCAGTGGACTCAGTGGTCTCCTTTAAAAAGCAGCTGAAAACTCACCTGTTCAAGCTGGTTTTGGTGAACTTCACCACCCTCTCCATATTCTGCTCTTATTCGCCTTTCCCGGGATCCACCGATTTCCCTCTTTCCTATTTACTTTCTCTCTACTTACAAAATTTTAATCTCAATAAAAAATATTTCTCATTTCAAAAATATTTGTAATCATTTTTTGAAATCTTTTTTATACTTTGGTCTACTTTTTGTGAAGCGCCTTGTGATTTTTCTCTTAGAGACACTGTATAAAAGGTATCTCTCTCTCTCTCTCTCTCTCTCTCTCTCTCTCCTCTCTCTCTCTGCTCTCTCTCTCTCTCTCTCTCTCTCTCTCTCTCTCTCTCTCTCTCTCTCTCTCTCTCTCTCTCCTCTCTCTCTCTCTCTCTCTCTCTTCTCTCTCTCTCTCTCTCTCTCTCTCTCTCTCTCTCTCTCTCTCTCTCTCTCTCTCTCTCTCTCTCTCTCTCTCTCTCTCTCTCTCTCTCTCTCTCTCTCTCTCTCTCTCTCTCTCTCTCTCTCTCTCTCTCTCTCTCTCTCTCTCTCTCTCTCTCTCTCTCTCTCTCTCTCTCTCTCTCTCTCTCTCTCGCTCTCTCTCTCTCTCTCTCTCTCTCTCTCTCACATTACTAAAATAAAGGATTTAAATAATTACCTTAATTTACCTGACTACTCCCTAGATTTCCCGCGTTTGGATCCAACCTTTTCCTGCCAGTGTGTGGATGCGAGCATGTGTGTGTGTGTGTGTGTGTGTGTGTGTGTGTGTGTGTGTGTGTGTGTGTGTGTGTGTCTTACAAACTTACCTCTCACATGCTCCACTCCAGAAGCCACCTAATGTGATCGTTACCATGGAAATCAGCAGAATGACAGCAATGCTTGGATCAATTTTTGAGTAAGGTGGTGCATACAGACTGGCCTGCATTCCCTCACCGAACACCTGAGGACATACGAGAGCTGTCTGGACTGAGACAGAAACTAGATATTCCACTACAGCCTGGAACTCAACGTCAAAACCAAAACAAGCTCTACCCTCACAGATGGTTTTAGTCTAAGCTATAAACCCAGCCACTCCATGTAAACAAACAGGAAACTGTTCTCGTTACAAATCTGTTTTCTGACGCTGACTTGCGCTGATTTGCTGCCTTGTCTAAACATTTGCTTATAATATGCTATTTGAAACAAAACAAACACCATGATTGTGCGTGGCTAGGCCTCATACCCCGTGTGCAGATTAATAATACAACAGGGAAATTCATGGCTTCGCTTGAAACAACTCTGTGGTTGACGAGTGGCTGTTACCATTAATAGAAAGAAAGAATAGCCAGTTGATCTTCAAAAGGGGTCAGGAATGCAATGTGTTGAAATGCCAAACAGCATAATCATCTCATTTATGTACATGGTGTGTCTTTAAAGCTCTAGTTCACTCACTATTTCACACAGAGAAACACATATGACACAGTTTCTATGAGGACCTTGAATTTGACCCAAACTGCACTAAATGGACTCATGCAGAAAAAGTACAAATCAGAATAAAAACAGCCAAGCCCCCTGACCTTCTTTGCTTCCAGGAAGTCCCTATACCTCATGAGAGCCAGAGGAATCTTGACCTTTGTGTACTCAGAGTCATTGGCTGATGGAGTGACCTGAAAAGCAAACTCAGTTCAGATTATAACTAATAAAACTCAAACTCCAACAAGCAATGCAGGTGTCCACTTCATATCTGTTGCTGGATCTTACTTATTTTCAAAGAAAACTACTTCAAAATACTTACAAATGATACCTTAATGCTAGTAAAAAGATTAATTTACACCACAAATAAAACTTTGTACCAGTGATTTGCTGCTGGCAATGAGCAAAGCTGCAGCACCGAGGCTCTGGGCAACAAGAGCTTTCTGGCTGAAGTCACACTCCCCCCTCATTGCCACCAGAGCTTTGCCCTTCACCACATCTGGATTAATCCCCGAAGAGTTACACAGTAAAGTAGAGGTCAGATTGACCAGCTGGTACTGGAGCTGGAAGAACAGAAAGAGAAGTGAAAAATAAAAATAATAATTCAAAACAAAAGCCTTAAAAGGAAGCAAAAACTTACTGCGGAGTCGAGCAACTGTGGAAGAGGAGTCCAAGAATGATTGTGGACGACGCAGTACTCCCTGTATGAGCTTGCATCTGAAATGTGCAAAACAGCCTCCTGGCCATTTATCTGTAAAAGGCAGCATAACATTTAATCACTGAACAAATCACAGGATCAGTCCAATTTTAGATCCTCAATTTCATTTCTTTATTACGCTGTGTGTCAAAATAACCTTGCACTGCAAGATGAATTCTCGTGGGAATTGGAAATTTCCAAACTCAGGAGAATCCATCTTGTACCGCTTCAGTTCAAACCGTCCGACGACCACGCAACAGCAAATTTCTGAAAAAGACTCGGCCTCTGTGTGGCAAAGTTTGAGGACCATTACCAACTACAGCCCCAAACCCCCACCTCCACTGATGATCTGCTCTTGGCCAACAGCCAAAACAACTTCTATTGTTGATTTGATGAGCCCTCAAGCAGGTCTCACACCTCATCCAGTGCCAACAAGAGGCATTGGTCACTTCACTCAAACCCCACTCCAAAGCCATCACCATCACTGTGGAATTAACCCTCATCCTCACCCCTCACCAAGGAGGACCTCACATCATGCACCTCCACCACAATGCTACACAGATGTGAGGAAGTAATTCAAGACTCTAAAGGAGGTTTTCCAGGATCACTATTCAGAGCAACTCGGCCCGACCATTGTTCCAAGGGCACGGTTCGGTATTTTCCCTCTACATTCTTCCTATTTTTAATCCCTGCTCCATTAAGGTACCTGGCAAGGCCGAGTCGGGCCAGCAACATGATTCTGGCCGCTGACTGGCTAGGGGGCGGAGTAACTGGTTGCTCTGGAGTTTTTTACTTTCCGTTTCACTACCTGCAGCCATTTCTTGGTTCAGAGTCTGAAAAAATGCCATAAAACTGAGCAAAATGTCCAGCAACACCAACTTTTTCAGCTGAGTTGTGTTTCTGTGGAGCTTAAGTTACCTTATACTGTTTACCGATCACCTCATGTTATTTTGTCATGAGTAAAAATCCTACTTAGATTTCAGAGCTTATTTGTACCAAATATAATACACGTGGTTTGATTCCAACAAACACTTCATCAAATTTATGTAGTTCCTTTGCCATCACATCCAGAAGCTGTTCCAAATGATCCCCGCTACAGAACAGAGCAGACAGATCCCACAGTGGGGAAATTCACTTGTTACAGCAGCACAAACACTCAAGAGAGTAAATTAAAGAAAAATAATAACAAGGGTACATGCATTATTATTATTAGCCCCTTTTATGCCTGTTCACTCAAGGTCTGGCTGTACCCACTTTCTAGCGTTCTTTGAGACTAAAATCAGAAGATCAGTGGTTGGCACTAAATGCACTGTGAGTTATCGTGTGATTGATCAGCAAAACATGGTCGATTTTATATTTTCTCATTAGGTTGACGCAGTGATAGCTTGCTCTTGTATTGTTGTGTGTCCCTTTTTTTTCTTGTTTAATTTTCTCTTGACTGCAGGTCTAGAAGCAGACTTGTTCATCATTGTTTATTTTTGTGGATCTCATGCATATACATAAGCCGGCTGTTGCAGCACTCCGCCAATGACATGGCGACCGTAGATCAAGGCAGATCAAGGAAGCGCTATTTCACAGAAGCAGGAATTGAGGTACCTGTGGGTGACGTGGAAAAATGAAAGGAAGTGCTTTTGCAAAACAAATAAGAGAAAACCCACGGAGTGGCACAACGTTGCTGAACCCGTCAATGTTGTGAATTCTTCAGAGAGATCTGTGGCAGATATTAAAAAAATGGTCCAGTCGGGATTCGATCCCCAGACTTCCAGGTGAAAGTCACACGCTAACCAGTCAGCCAAACTGAGATCTCCCTTGTCCAAGTAGTGAAAGCAGATAACGGAACGGGGAAGCTAATCAGCATAAAAACCAGCATGAAATTATGGAAATGCCTCAAAGAAAATCAACACGATCTATTAGGTGTCCCAGAAGGCTCATATCTGAAGACAGTGACCACGAAGAAGGACAGATCTCCAGTGAACCAGGATATGAACGTTTGTTCAGTCTTTAAATTTTATTTTTTTATTTGAACAACCCTCAACTATTTGCTAATTGTAAGATTCAACTTCATACCAGCATTATTTATCTTTTTACCATAAATAATTATTTTTGCTAAAACAAAAGTTTTTGGTATTGAAGTGCACGTTGTGCCAGAGAAGCACCCCATGGCAGTGAGATGTGCGCTCTGCCTGCAGCTGGAGAGAAACGGCTTCAAGGTCTACCATCAAATAAAAATGTCTGGAAGTTTACAAAAATAAATGGTCTTAAAAACAGCTAAAAATGATACAAAGGTTCAAACTTTTTTAAGAATAGATGCATTACAGATCAAAGTTTAAATTGTTCATTCCAAATTGTTCGCACAAGTCATTTAGAAGTTCCTGTTCTAAATTCTAATCTGTTTTTTGCATTTTTCACTTTTAAGCTGATTTTTTAAAGGCTTTAATAGAAATAAATTCTAAATACAAACCATACACTGAAAGCTGAGGTTGTTCTGAAAAAAAGAGTTACACACACTTTGTACTTTTTATTACAATTTTACAGCCATAAGATAAAAAAACATACCAGGCGGCCCTGTTATGATTATGGTCATAAGAGGGTTATTACGACGGCGATGCACAAACAGGAAGTGATTGGTAGTCATTCCACTCCAATCCAATTGGTGGCGGTAATGCGCCAAATTGTTGTTTGCCAAGTGCCATAAAACCACAAATAAGAATAGGAAGAGAGGCGGGAGCATTCGTAACAAACTCAAAGCAATAGTCAAACCATTAAGCATGAAATTGAGTTATCCTAGTGGCTCCAATAAGAGAAAGAAGCAGCTTGCTTCATAAAAGCTTTTATTTTCACTTCTGAAAGTGACGTCGTTTCTCGATGTAAACATCAAAAGGAAGCAGAAAGGAAAGACAATGGAAAATGTTTAAAGGGAGGAAAACAGACCAAAATGGAAAATGGAAAATAGAAAAAAATAACTAAGGCTAAAGCACAGGAGCACTGACAGGAAAAAGAAAGCAGAGCAAATATTAAAAGCGCTCAAAGGGCGGGAAATACAGGAAAAAAAAGAGGAGGACTAATAAAAAGGGAAAATAACTCGTGTCAGAAGAGGGGAAAGTTTCGCAAATCCAGTTAAAGGTAAGATTGTTGAAAATTTTGTGTAAGGGGCCCCATGTCTGTGTTCACCTTGGGCCCCCAAATTGCTAAATCCGCCTCTGTGTGTGTGTGTGTGTGTGTGTGTGTGTGTGTGTGTGTGTGTGTGTGTGTGTGTGTGTGTGTGTGTGTGTGTGTGTGTGTGTGTGTGTGTGTGTGTGTGTGTGTGTGTGTGTGCGTGTGGGGGGTCTTGTTCAGTGTGAAAACGAAGCAGTACAAGTGATAACGCTGCAGGATTTCATGCACCATCTTTTCTTTTTTTTTTTTTTTTTTTTTTTTACTGTGTCCTGTCTGGCTGTGAAGCAAGCAGAATTGATGTCTGAATGCTGGTGACAAGCCTTACAGATTTACTCTCAGGTGGAGCATCAAAGCGTTTGCTTTTAATGTCACGCCTGATACTTAAAACTTTATTGTTATTGTTGTTGAATGCTTTGTAATTCCGACCAGACACGGAGACAGAGGTGAAAGAGAAAGGAAAAGAAAAGGTGGGGAGAGAGGGGGGGGGGGTCCACAAAAATAAACAAAAATGAACAAGAGTCTGCTTCTAGACCTGCAGAAAAAGACAAATAAAAAACAAAGGGACACAAAAAAAGGGACACAACAACAATACAACAAGATCTACCTATCACTGCGTCAACTTGATGAAAAGAAAAAATATATATATATAATCAATATTGCTTAACTGAAGAATCACAATAATAAATCACAACGCATTAAGTGCCCACCATAGTCTTAAGACCTGTGTTGAACGTGCCCAAGCCCATACTTATGAGAGCACCATGTGAGCACCTGTGTGTGTACACGCGCTTGTTTATTTAAGGTTTCTCTATAGGAGCGCCCAACAGAGAGTGTAAGGGACCACAGATCTGCCCCCCAAAGATGCGCAGGAGACGGGGGGGGGGGGCTCCAAGTCCCAGAGATCCAGGCGCTGCCCCAGAACGCAGGAACCCGAAGGAGACTGCAACCAGGAAGGCCCCCGCCCCCCTCGAGAGGCACAGAGGATCGTCCCGGGGGGCCACAACCAGCAGCCGGCAGAGTCCCTGGAGATATCAGCGGCAAGCCCAAGGCCCGCCCGCAGCCTCCCACCCCCTAGCCGGCCGAGCCCGGGACCCAGCGACCCGGGACCCAGGGGCGACCACCCCCGCCGGGGACCCAGCAGAGCCCAGGGACCCAGACCCCACCAGGCAGCCACCGGGATCTAACAGGCAGATGCCAAAGATCTTAAACCCCCAGACCCGGTTGCCACGAACACTCAGGCAGACCAAGGCACAAGCCCTCACACCAGGTGTGGCAGGGGGAGGGGGGACAGAGATCTATATCATCAAGAGAAGTTCCAGGAGAGGGGAGGAGTCAAAGTCCCCACCTGACATATACAATCATACACAAACACAGTCACACGCTCCCTCCCTCATGCTCACACATGCACATACAACCCAAGACTTACAAAAATGCACGCCGGACACCCACTCATGCTCCCCATACACACCCTATTCACTCTGGTCCCGGTACTGCTGCACATGGGGTACAACCATCACCGGTAACCAGAGTTTGACCCTTTCTGCTGGGGTGCTGATGAGCAGGCTCCCCCGCCCAACGCTGAGCACAGCAACCCACCACCCCAGACCCCAACCAGACGGCCAGATCTCCCTCCTAGCCTCCAGCCCCAGGAAGCCAAGCAACAACAGAGGTGGCTAAGACCCCTAGTCTCCCTCCGCCTGCTCCAATATAGTGTTGTGTGATCATGAGGTGTATTCCATGGCTGTGGTGAGCGGGCAGTGCGGGCATTGCCTGGCCTATGTCAGCGGATGCCACCGCACCACCATGCACCATCTTACATTGGTGATCATCTTAGTCCCTACACCCCCAGCAGGTCCCTGAGGTCCAGTGACCAAAGCCTACTGGTTGTGCAGCACCAG